TATACCTTTCTCTGGCCACATCCTTGAGGAAAAATTAGGAAAGATTATACAGAAAATATAGCTTTACTTTGAAGCATTAGAATTTTCTCTGTATTACAGTTTTTCCAGTTTTATAAATCTTTTGAAGAGAAGATAATTATTTTTGGTCTGTATGTGTTTCTTGGTATTCTGAAAATACAAGTGACTTAGATTTAAAATATTTTATTAATATAACCATTGAAGAAAGTAATCATCATGCCCAATTAAAATCCTAATTCAAAACTTGTGAAGGTTGATTTGAATTCTTTGAATAATATGTTTTAAAATTTCTATAATCTTGTACATTAAACTATAACCTATAGAAAGCATGTTATGCCACCCTGAAGGTTGCTATAAAAATTGTTTATGAAGTTCAGGCCAAGACTAAAATATGTTGAAATGGAGAGTTGTGAAAAATGTTCTGTATAGCATAGGAGACCAAATCATGCTAAAATGCAGAAAAAGACTATACATCAGTTTCTAGGCTACATTATTCAAAAAAATACAACCATAAAAAAGGTAATAAGATTACATTTTCACATTTCACGGCTAGTAAAGTGCATTAGGCTGCTCAGATATTCATAACTTACTATGACATTTGGGAAGATTACATTTTGTAGTGCAGAGCCATTACTACAGCTCAGATAATAACTAGCCAATGCCTAGACTTGGATTATGATCCTTGTCATTGAAAACAAATTTGTGTTTTGAAGGTTGATCAGCTTCAAATAACTATTAGAAAGGGTTAACGTGACATACTGTAGACCCTGTGCATGCTTTTTAGGTATAATAGATATGCATACATATAGTATATCAAATATGCCACACATTTGTATGTACCAATTTCTGCCATCAGTTTTCTCCTTGAAAGGTATATTTTATAATATTTAAAGCAATGGAGAAATATTTAAAACACCTGTCTGGATACTGCTCTCACAGTATAAACTCAATTTAAAAGCTGGTGAAATATTTGGGGTTTTTTTGAAATTACTTTAAAAAATTAATTCTGTAGCTTCTTGGAAGGGTGGTTACGGGTAGAAATAAACACAGATTAAAACGAAAGATTGATGTAAGTAATATTAAAGGTGAAGGTAAGGTCTCCTAAGTTAGTTGCAACTAGATTTTTGACTATTTAGACCTGTGTGGAGAATGTCCAAACATGTATATATTAAAAACTCTCCCTTTGCTCTTTTCCCCCAGATGCTTATTTGACTTTCCAGAGGCAATCACTATTTAATTTTTTTGTTTTAATGCTTATTTATATTAGAGAGTGTGAGCATGGGAGGGGCAGAGAGAGAGAGGGAGACACAGAATCAGAAGCAGGCTCCAGGCTCTGAGCTGTCAGCACAGAGTCCGATGTGGGGCTTGAACCCATGAAATGGGAGATCATGATCTGAGCTGATGTCGGACACATAACTGACTGAGCCACCCAGGCGCCCTGGCAATCACTATTTAGTTTCTTGTGTATCATGCTTAGGTAATACTTAACATATCCGTATCCGTATCCGTATCCGTATCCATATCCATATGTTTTGCATTCAAATTGTAGCCTACTGTTCACTTTTTTTTTCCATCTTGATTTTCTCACCTAAACAATGTATTTTAGAGATCTCTTCATGTCAGATGGAGCTGCCTTATTCTTTTCAGTGCCTGCATCATATATATCATTATATAGTCATATATGACTTTACTAACCATTACCTTACAATGTGTTTTTAAATTTTTTATTTTTTAAATTTTATTAAAAAATATTTTTTAACATTTATTTATTATTGAGAGACAGAGAGAGAGAGCATGAGCATGAGAGGGGCAGAGAGAGGAGGAGACACAGAATTTGAAGCAAGCTCCATCCTCTGAGCTGTCAGCACAGAGCCTGATGCAGGGCTCGACCCCACCAACTGAGCCGAAGTTGGATGCTTAACCGACTGAGCTACCTAGGCGCCTCACCCTTGTAATGTTTTTTTGAGGGATTGTTTCTTCTATTTTCTGTTCAAAATGTACTACAATGTTCTTATATCTAACATCATTACCTAAATATATCTGTAGAATAAATTTCTAGTTGTTAAGACAGTTATTTGTATGTGGCTTCTTCTATTTAACATTATTCTTTTGAGATTATTTTTATTTATTTATTTTTCTTTTTCAAGAGGACATTGATGTATATTGGTCACTGTGTCAGTAGTTCCAATATCAAATATTTTTCTCATATAGTAATTTTTCAGTTGAAGTCCTTGGTTTTGCAGATATGTATCACATCATCTCAAAATAATTGTAATTTAAATTCCTCCATTCTGATATTTATACTTGTTGCTCCCTTTTGACCAACTGTGTCTTCTGTACCTTCAGAATAATATCAAATGATGGTGATAATAGTGCATCCTAATCTTGTTTCTGACTTTCATGAGACTCATTCCAATTTTCCTATTTGAGCATGATGCTGGCTTTTCAGGTGTGATTGTTATATTGTATTCTTAAAGGAAGTCTTTTACTATTAATAAATGTAATAAAGTATGATGGAAATATTAAACCACCATTTAGCAATGCCACAGTAATAACATTTACAGGTAAGATCCATCAATCGATGCATAAAACTGGAATAAACTCTATTTAGTTGTGTCTGTTATTCTTTAATGAGCTGTTGTATTTTGTTTTGTAATGTATGGTGAAAAACAAGATACTTGTGGCCTCAAGGTGTTTCCACAAGATGAGTAATAATTTATACATGAAATATAGTAACTTTAAGATGGAAAAAAAAATCTGACAAACACCATCTTTTTAAAAAAAAATTTTTTTTCAACGTTTATTTATTTTTGAGACAGAGACAGAGCATGATCAGGGGAGGGGCAGAGAGAGAGGGAGACACAGAACCCAAAGCAGGTTCCAGGCTCTGAGCCATCAGTTCAGAGCCCGACGCGGGGCTCGAACTCACAGACCCCGACGCGGGGCTCGAACTCACAGACCCCGAGATCGTGACCTGAGCTGAAGTCGGACGCTTAACTGACTGAGCCACCCAGGCGCCCCGAAAAACACCATCTTAAACAACTGGTCAAAGCTAACGTTAACCAGAAGTGAGGCATAATGACAATTAGGTCCCATTGAAATGTTATGCTGAGTAGGACATACATCACTTCTGGGATATTTTTGCCAAAAATGCATAACCTGAATTTAAACATGAAACAAATGTCCATATTGGAAAAGTCTATAAAATATCTGGCAAATATGCTTCAAAAACATCAAAAACATGAAAGTCAAAGGATGCCTGTGCACCGGTCTCAGTATGGAGAAGACTAGGGCGGGTACTGATTGTGGATCCGAAAAAGGACTTGAGGGCAAGAAGTGGCAACATTTGAAGAAGATCTGTAGATTTGTTGGTAGTAGTATATCAATGTGAAGTTTATGGTTTTAATTATTTTATTACGATTATAGAATATACTCATATTACGGGAAGCTTGGTAAAGGGTATACAGGAATTCTATACTATTTTGCAGCTTTTTGAATATTTGAGATTATTTCAGAATAAAAAGCTAAAGACAAAACAAGCAAATAATATTCACAAAACCAAATAAAAAAAAGAGTTCATATGTAGTTAACAGAATTTTTGTGTGGATTAGAGAACCAAACATGTATACTTCATAGCCAGGACAGTGTAGCTAGCAGAATTGGCCCAGTCACACCAAGGGGCTCTTTTAGCAGAAACCCAGCTGTCCTTTCCTAATGCTAGATATTACTGATGATACAAAGAATTATACACTAAAATCTCTGCCAGAGCTTTCCCAGAAGAATCAAATGCTTTTACTACTGTAGTAGCCAGGAATTCCTGTCTCCCTTCATGCACATTATTGTCTCATATTGTTCATTTTTCCATTTTTTTATTCCTCTTGCCCCTGTGTATCTTTGGCAGAACTTGGGAGAAACATCAATCCTTGGCTACAAGGAGTATTAATTGATTTTCTAATTCTGAACCTTCCTTGCTTTTCTGGAGTAAACTCTATTTGGTTGTGTCTGTTTTTCTTTTATGAGCTGTTGGATTTTGTTTTGTAAAAAGTTCTCTTTCTCCTAATTCTTGACCACCTTTTGGGTTTAGGAATGCATAATGTAAAACTGAGATGTATTCAGAAAGACAGGAGTGTAGGTGAATCATGTATGTAATGTTTCTGACAGACATTTAAAAAAAAATCTAGTTAGCAAGGATAGCTCTGCAAAGGTAATTCCAGAAGTAGTTTAATTCCTTTAAACGATGGGGATTTGTTAAAATTTAAAAAATTCTCTGTGGGAGGACACTGAGTGAGATAGCAACAACACGGGGATAGGTCAGTATATCTTTCTCTGGATGAGTTTTTTTGATAGTCTCAATGAAATATATTTTGACTAGTACTTTGGGGGTATGATTATATTTAAGTTATTCTAATTATTGACAGGGAAAAAAAGGGATCAAAATCAATAGGTAAAATAAACTAGGAATTTGGCAAATATTAACTCTAAGTTCTGTATCCACTCTGAGTGTTTTCCAGCTTTTCATTTTTGTTGTGAGCTGTATTTTGTATAGGTAACAAAGCACCTCTAGGTTGCTATGGGTAGTTCACAGAGTTCATAAGTCATAAATGAAATACTGATTTAGAAGCAGTTACAGAGCTAAAAGTTAGATCTTTATTGGTGTCAGGGCAATAGATAGTGGTTTACCTAAGATATCCTGTATTTCTTTTCTGTTGAAAATTATTTCCACTTTTATATTGCAACTCTTGCTTGACTTTGTGCTATCTTAACTTGGAATTTTCTTTAGAAGCTTTATTTTTTAGAGCTCTCTCTGTGTGTGTGTGTGTGTGTGTGTGCGCGCGCGCGCACGCGTGCTTATGAACCCTTTTGTTGTAGAGAGTAGAAAAGAATGTGTATGGGTATGTACTGCCAACCTAAAGCTTAGGAGTGTGCTCTAGTTACATTGAAAAAGCACTAATGCTTTTAATTTTTTCCCCTCTTTTTGGAAGTTGGTAGGAGGGCAGTTTGATTTGGAAATGAATTTCATTATCCAAGAAGGTGAGAGTATCATCTGCATGGTCGACCTCCTAGAAAAATGTGACATTACTTGCCAAGCAGAAGTCTGGAGCATGTTTACAGCGATTCTGAAGAAAAGCATACGAAATCTTCAAGTCTGCACCGAAGTAGGCCTTGTTGAGAAAGTGCTTGGGAAAATTGAAAAAGTTGACAATATGATAGCAGGTATGATTTTTTCTGTAGCACAATGGATGTGAAGAAATAAAGTTTGATTCTTAAATACTATATTTTTCTTATTTAGTAACATTTAAGAAATATTTGAGCATCTAACTTGTGCCTAGAACTTCAGTGTTTAAACTCTTAAATAAGCACAGTATATTTCAGTCCTTTAAGGAATATAAGTTGATTAATTGTTTTGTTGTTTTCTTTTGTTTCCAGATCTTTTAGTTGACATGTTGGGAGTGCTGGCTAGCTATAATTTGACGGTTCGAGAACTAAAGCTATTCTTCAGTAAACTTCAAGGAGATAAAGGACAATGGGTAAAAAAACCCTGAATACCCTTTGCTATTTGAAAGTTTCCCTCTCCTCAAATACATTAGTTGCTTTTAAGCAGCTGTTATTATTATACAGGGGTAAATGTCAAATTGAAAGGAAGAGATCAATCAAAATAGAATTTAGGTCTTTATAGCTACTTTTGCCATGACCCAACACAGGTGTATACTAAAGAGAACTGAATGTTCCAGGCAGGCTCAAACTTGGCCCTTCTTCAAATTGTTAGTCTTCAGATATACAATTAACATTTATTAGAGGAAAAGGGTTAGGATAGAGAAGGAAAAGTGTTGGGTAGTCTGCTTCTCTTTTTTATTGACACGAGTAGTTTAGCTGTAGCCCTTAAACTTGAATAATCCACTCATTGAACAAAAGGTCTGCAGTTAATTGGATCCACCTTCCACAGTTGCAATTTAATGGTCCTTTGTAATGAATGGCAGTAGTGGTCAACTTATTTTGAACTCCAGGTGCCTTAGCAAACTGTTTTTTCCTACCACTTGGTTACTTACCTCTTAGAGGAATACTGGTAAATATTTTCTTCATTTTTTGTTGGATTTCTGGGGTTATTTTAGTGCTCTTTAGAGATTATTGCCCACAGCAACTGATTGCTAATCTAGCTCTGTTGAAATCTATCTAAATTGGTGCTTTGCAATTGTACACTTTAGTTTATTGTGTTACAATGGTTAGACTCTAGCTTCTTTATATCAAGTTCTAGCTCTCTGTCTGTCTTTAAGATTTCAGGACTGGGAGCACTTGGCTGGCTCAGTTGGTAGGACATGCTACCTTTGATCTCAGGGTCATGAGTTCAAGCCCCACATTGGGTGTGGCGCTTACTTAAAAAATAAAAAAGCTTTCATCATTGATTTCTTAGCAATTTTATTATGTTTCTTGGAGTGGCTTACCTTGTGTTTATTCTTTTTTGTTGTTGTTAATTTAAGTCCAAGTTAGTTAGCATATAGTGCAACAGTGATTTCAGGGGTAGATTCCTTAATGCCCCTTATCCATTTAGCCCATCCTCCCTCTCACAACCCATCCAGTAACCCTCTGTTTGTTCTCCATATTTAAGAGTCTCTTATGTTTTGTCTCCCTCCCTGTTTTTATATTATTTTTGCTTCCCTTCCCTTGTGTTCATCTGTTCTGTGTCTTAAAGTCTTCATATGAGTGAAGCCATATGATATTTGTCTTTCTCTAATTTTGCTTAGCATAATACTCTCTAGTTCCATCTACGTAGTTGCAAATGGCAAGATTTCATTGTTTCTTGAGTGCCGAGTGGTACTCCATTGTATATATACACCACATCTTCTTTATCCATTCATCCATTCGATGGACATTTGGGCTCTTTCCATACTTTGGCTATTGTTGATAGTGCTGCTATCAACATTGGGGTGTGTGTGTCCTTTCGAAACAGCACACCTGTATCCCTTGGATAAATACCTAGTAGTGTAATTGCTGGGTCGTAGGGTAGTTCTATTTTTAATTTTTTGAGGAACCTCCATACTGTTTTCCAGAGTGGCCGTACCAGTTTGCATTCCTACCAGCAGTGCAAAAGAGATCCTCTTTCTCCGCATCCTCGCCAACATCTGTTGTTGCCTGTTTTTTAGTGTTAGCTATTCTGACAGGTGTGAGGTGGTATCTTATTGTGGTTTTGATTTGTATTTCCCTGGTGATGAGTGATGTTGAGCATTTTTTCATGTGTTGGTTGGCCATCTGGATGTCTTCTTTGGAGAAGTGTCTACTCATGTCTTTTGCCCATTTCTTCACTGGATTATTTGTTTTTTGGGTGTTAAATTTGGTAAGTTCTTTATAGATTTTGGATGCTAACCCTTTTATCTGATATGTTGTTTGCAAATATCTTCTCCCATTCTGTCGGTTGCCTTTTAGTTTTGTTGATGGTTTCCTTCGCCGTGCAGAAGCTTTTTATTTTGATGAGGTCCCAGTAGTTCATTTTTGCTTTTGTTTCCCTTGCCTCTGGAGACGTGTTGAGTAAGAAGTTGCTGTGGCCAAGCTCAAAGAGGTTTTTGCCTGCTTTCTCCTCGAGGATTTTGATGGCTTCCTGTCTTGCATTTAGGTCTTTCCTCCATTTTGAGTTTATTTTTGTGTATGGTGTAAGAAAGTGGTCCAGGTTCATTTTTCTGTATGTTGCTGTCCAGTTTTCCCAGCACCACTTGCTGAAGAGACTGTCTTTATTCCATTGGATTGGATAGTCTTTCCTGCTTTGTCAAAGATTAGTTGGCCATATGTTTGTAGGTCCATTTCTGGGTTCTCTGTTCTGTTCCATCGATCTGAGTATCTGTTCTTGTGCCGGTACCATACTGTCTTGATGATTACAGCTTTGTAATACAGCTTGAAGTTCGGGATTGTGATGCCTCCTGCTTTGGTTTTCTTTTTAAAGATTGCTTTGGCTATTCAGTGTCTTTTCTGGTTCCATACAAATGTTAGGATTGTTTGTTCTAGCTCTGTGAAGAATGTTCGTGTTATTTTGATAGGCATTGCATTGAATATGTAGATTGCTTTGGGTAGTATCAACATTTTAACAATATTTGTTCTTCCTATCCAGGAGCATGGAATATTTTGCCTTTTTTTTTTTTTTTTTTTTGTCTTCTTCAATTTCTTTCATAAACAATTTTTTTTTAGGTGTATGAATTTTCTTGCTTCACACTCTTTGGTTAGATTGATTCCTAGGTATTTTATGGTTTTTGGTCCTTGTGTTTATTCTTATTACACTTGTGGTATTTGGACATTTATAATAGAATTTTCAGCAAATTTGGAAACATTTTGGTCATTATTTTTTTAAGTGTCATGTTTTTGTCCCTCCCTCCTCCTTCTGGGACTATAATTACATGTATGTTAGCTCTCTTGATAGTGCCCAGTAGGTCACTGAGATCTGTTCACTTGTTTTTCAGCCTTTTCCCTTTGTGTTTCATTTTAGATTGCTTTTTATATTACTGTATTTTTAAAGTAACCGCTCTTTTGTTTCTCCTGCAGTGTGTTAATTCTATCCAGTAAAATTTTCAGAGTTCAGATATTTTTATTTCTAAAGATTCTGTTTAGTTCTTTTAATATCTTTTATTTTTCCTCATTATGTTCATGTTTTCCTTTAAATCCTTGGGACTATTGAGCATATTTATAATATAATAGTTGCTCTCATGTTATTTTCTACTAATTCTATCATCTTTATCATTTTCTAGATCAGTTTTTTACTCATGGATTTTGCTTATAGGTCATATTTTCCTGCTTCTAATGCTAGTGATTTTAGATCCAGTGATGTTAGATACACTGAATTGTTCCTGGTTGAGTGCTAGATTTTGTCATATTCTTTTTCAGATTGTTAGACTGTTTTTGTAGACAGATAAATTATTTGTGGATCAACTTTACTCTTACAGACTAGTTTAAAAGTTTTGTTTTGGTCAGGTCTAGATTGTCTGTTATTCTAAGGCTAGTTTAGCTTCCTTATTCAGGCCTGATTCTTTTAGAGTCTCTCTGAATGACCCTACATCTGAGATACGGGGTAAGAGGTAGTGTAAGGCTCTGTGGTCATTCCACTGTGCCTAGTAGGGTCTCAATTTCTGGCTGTATAGTAGCTGTAAAAATTCTTTGACTTATAGCTTTCAATATCTTGGCCTCACCTTGTTCAGTTTTATGATAGGCATGGATAGTTTGGTATTAAGTCAAGGAGGATTAAGATCAGTGTAGATTTTGGAACTTCTTACCTGCATAGCTCTTTTCTCTGTAGTACTCTGCTTGAAGCTTTCATCCTTCTCAGACTACCCCACACTGCAATTTCTGTCTCATTAAGTCAATGAGAACTTCACATTCTGTTTGGTTTTCCTTTTCCTGTGCAGTGGTATGGAAATTGCATCCTGGTAGAAAATCTGGTAATCTCATGGCTCATTTTGTTTCCTTTTCTCAAGTAGCAGTGTCTTGAGCTACTTCTTCCATGTCTAAAAACAGTTTCTGTTTCATACATTTTATCCAGTATTCTAGTTGTTTAGGGTGAGTTGATAAGTCTAGACCCTGGTACTATGTCATGGCCAGAAGAGAAAGTACAGATCTTCTTTGACTTGCAGTGGGGCTCCATTTTGATAAACACTTTGTAAGTTGAAAATGTTAAAAGGTGAAAATACATTTAATACACCTAACTTATCAAACATCATAGCTTAGCCTATCAGAACACTTATATTAGCCTACAGTTGGGCAAAATCATGTAACACAAAGCCTGTTTTGTGATACAGTGTTGAATATATCATGTAATTTATTGCATACTGAATTCAAAGTGCAAAACAGAAAGGTTGTGTGGGTACAGAATGGTTGTAAGTGTATCGGTTGTTTATCCTTGTGACTTTGTGGCTGGCTGGGAGCTGTGATTTGTTGCCACTGCCCAGCATCCCGAGAGAGTATTGCGCTGCATGTTGCATGTCACTGCCTGGGAAAAGATTAAAATTCAAAGTTCAAAGTACTATTTCTACTGAATGCATATAGCTTTCACACCATTGTGAACAAAAAAATTCTAAGTTGGACCATCAGAAGTCAGGGACTGTATATATACTAGTTTCATTTTAGTTTTGATTTATATTCAGTGTCTTTATTCTGAATATATAATGAGTACATTTCTGTTGGTGAATATAGAAAACTCTGAGAAAATAGCAATGGATATGAATAAATGTGTATTTATAGAGATAGAAACCCAACAACCAAATAAACACAAAGTCAGTAATAATTAGAGATGTTCAAATTAAAACAAAATTGGTATGTTACTTTATGTCTATTAGTGTTAAGGCTTATAAAGTTGGATAATAGCAAATATAACTGGGGGGATAGGGTTATTTTAAACTTGTGTTCTAGTGGTTGGAGTAAACTCATTTAGCCAAACTTGAGTAATCTAGCACTAATTAGTTGCATAAATTTATACTCAAATCCAGTGACTTAGTAATTTCCTCCTGAGTGGGTGTTGCATGAAATTCTCACAGTTTCATAAGGAAAATACACTTGAGGATGTTCAATGTTCACATTGTTTTTGATGGCACTGAATTGTCACCATAGGGGTTTATTGTTACGATAGTAGATAGATTAAATGTATTGGATGCATAGAATAGATTATTATATGGCAGTTAGAATCAATGTAAAAGTTAATATGAATAGATGCAAGAAGCAGAAAGAAACGGATTCATATATCTGACCAAAGATCCTTTAAATTATGAGGATCACACAAAAATACTTTTGAAGGAACACATAATAAGATTAAAGATATTTACATAGTTGCTTATGTGATTGGGAGTAGAATGACAATAGGTTTAGGGCATAAAGGGAAAAATAATGAACTGTTAATAAAAGGATCAAGGCCTTGGGGTGCCTGCTTGGCTGATTTGGTGGAACATGCAACTCTTGGTGTTGGGTTGTGAGTTTGAGCACCACATTGGATGTAGAGATGACTTAAAAATAAAATCTTTAAGGCCCCTCCCCCGCCCCCCGCCCCGCAAAAGAAACCCCGAAACATACAAAACCGAGCAAGGCCTTGCTCAGTCATTAACCATTCATAGAATGGTTAACACTATATATATTTTTATTTTTGACTGCAGCTGATTTTGGTTATTTCATTTTTATTGATTTAAAAAAATCAATATGATTGTATACTTTTATAATTGTGTGGTGTCGCTAATTGAAAATTTCTTGATCACTTAAGAATGAAGCTTTCCACTTAACATTTAGGTAAAAGATTGCTGGACTCTTCTGGATAGTCATGATAACTAAGAGCAGATACCAAATAAGATGAAAGCAAGCCAGTGATTTCACTTGTGGTTTGACCCTGTTTTGAACTTTTAATGAAGAATGTACTACACTTTATCCTATTTACTTGTAAACTGATTAAAATGATAATGTATATCTGATCTTTGCTTTTCCTTATAAATAAGCCTTTTTATTTTAGTTATTGGTTGTTTTGTGTATCAGAGGAGACTTGTGGGTCAAAGAGGCATTAAATAAATGTAATGTTACAACTTTTTTACATGCTATATAGTTAAGGTAATATTGGAAATATGATAGGGAGCTTGGATCCAGTTTCAGAGGTCAGGGAAGACTGCCATAAGGAAGTAACCATTAAGGTCAGCTCTAAAAGATGGAGAAGATTTATATTTAGTTAAGAGGCGAGGGAAGTAGGCCTAGTGAGAACATTTTAAGCTGAAGGAATAGTTTGTGTTCAGGCCCTGTTGTTAGGAAGAAGGCAGAGAGGGCTTTGTGGATGGAGTGCAGAGAGAAAGATAGAAATGCAAAATGAGGCTAGTGAGGTAGATAGAGTATCTTGAGGGCTATGTTAAGAGTTTTGACCTTTTAAAATATACAAAATAGACTTTTGTAAAGTCTATTTATTTATTTTGAGAGAGAAAGAGAGAGAGGGAGAGAACGCCAGCGGGAGAGAGGGAGGGAGAATCCCAAGCAGGCTCTGTTCTCACAGCTCAGAGCCAGATGTAGAGCTCGAACTCACGACCTGAGATAGGACCTGAGCCCAAAAAAAGAGTTGGGCGCTTAAACAACTGAGCCACCCAAGGTGCCCTAAGGGGGTTTTGGTCTTTATTTTAAAGACAATGAGAAGCTATAGGAGAGGTAGCATAATAGGTGAGAGTGTAGTGATTTTAAGTATGGGCTCTGAAGTCAGGCTGAGTTCTGATCCCAGCTTTGCTACTGGCTAGTTATGTTACCTTCGAAATGTTCCTCTGCCTCTGAGTCCTCCTCTATAAAATGGGATAATAATAGTACCACCCCTAGGATGGTTATAAGGTTAAAATATTTTTATTGTTTCTTTAAAAACAGTCTTCAACAGGGTAATATAATAAGCATTATTTATTTGTTAAATTTAAAAAGTGTTTTAAAGAGAGATGGGTGATGGGTTGATGTAGTTTGTAATTTTAAAATATAATTTTTGCTGTAGTGTGCAGAAGTTTCAAGTGTCGGGTGCTATTGGCACTTTTATCAAACACCTTATACCTTCCATCATATTATGAAAATGGCATAGAATACATTGTATATTTCTTTAAGATAGTGAAAATAATATTCTTTTTATATACTTTTAGTTTAAGACATTTTTTGGTTATTCTTGAGTATATTAAAGTATGAGTATATGAAAAATAAGTTGTTTTATGGTGAATAATGCAGTTAATGAATTGTTGATTATTTTCATAGCCTCCACATGCTGGGAAGTTGCTGTCTGTGTTAAAGCATATGCCTCAGAAGTATGGTCCTGATGCCTTTTTCAACTTTCCAGGAAAGAGCGCTGCAGTAAGTAAATTTTAATGAGGATATCACTTGGAGTGCTTTCCTCGGTTTCCCGAAAGGATAGCCCTGTAAACACCCCTGATGGGTTTTGTGTTAGGTAGAAACTTCTTTGCACAACCTAAATTCCTTACAGCAGTTATTCGTGTTACTTTTTCCTGTTTTAGAAGTGAAGAAATACAGGCTCAAAGAAGTTAAGAAAGCTGCCCATTTACAGCTTGGGACAACAGTGGACTAAGAAGAACCCAGTTCTTTTAACATAAGCCATGTTGTCTTCAGAATTTACCTCTGAATTCTCAAATAGATATTTAGGTGTAACACTTTCACTTTCTATCTTACTGAACATCTTTCTTTAGCCTTGTATTTCCCCACTCCTGTTTCTTTTACACCTGGTGTATAGAATGACAATAACTCTTTGAAACTTTTTGGCAAGAGTTCCTAACTTGTGAGTTGCCAAATTTTATCAGTTTCAGCATTCTTTTTTTTTGTTTAAGTTTATTTAATTATTTTGAGAGAGAGAGAGAAAGAGAGAGAGAAAGAGAGAAAGCCAGAAAGCCCACGTGGGTGTGAGCAGGGGAGGGGTGGAGAGAGAGAATCCCAAGCAGGTTCCCTGCTGTCACCGTAGAGCCCCAGGCAGGGCTTGATCTCACTAACCGTGAAATCATGACCTGAGCTGAAAGCAAGAGTCAGATGCTTAATCGGTGCCCTCAGTTTCAGCATTCTTATAAGCTGTTAATTAATCAGTTTATAAAGAAGACATTGCTGGTAATATCTGTAATGTTTCAAAGTGTTATAGGAGTGCATTATGTAATGTATATATGTTATATATAGAGCTTTTTAACGTCCTCATATTACGTTGGTCTGCTTGTTATAAGCAAATTTTTCTTTGAAGATATTTCAGTCTGTTCTTACTGAGATTATCTTTTGTCACTTTTTACTTTGCTTTTGATAATATCTTTTTTTAATTTTTAATTTTTTAATTTTTTAATTTATATCCAAGTTAGTTAGCATATAGTGCTATAATGATTTCAGGAGTAGATTCCAGTGATTCAGCCCCTATGTATAAAACCCAGTGTTCATCCCCACAAGTGTCCTCCCTAATGCCCCTTACCCATTTAGCCGATCCAACCAGCCATAACACCTCCAGCAACCCTCAGTTTGTTCTCTGTATTTAAGAGTCTCTTATGTTTTGTCCCCCTCCTTGTTTTTGTATTATTTTTGCTTCCCTTCCCTTACGTTCATCTGTTTTGTGTCTTAAATTCCTCATATGAGTGAAATCATACGATACTGGTCTTTCTCTGGCTAATTTCGCTTAGCATGATATCCTCTGGTTCCATCCATGTAGTTGCAAATGGCAAGATTTCATTCTTTTTGATTGCTGAGTAATACTCCATTTGTGTGTGTGTGTGTGTGTGTGTGTGTGT